AGTGTGTGGGAGCATAGTGCAAATGACATTGCAAAAATTAAACTAAAATAAATCTATAAAAGATGACTAAGCCATGTAATTTACATGGGCTGTAACAAGATCAAATCAAACACAAAATCTATTATTAATCCTAATGGCAAGTCAAATAAATCCAATGCTCAAAACGTATTCCCTTCATACTATCCTAATTTGAAAAAACACGTAACACTCATGTAAAAAATAGCCACGCAAATGTGCAGGGCAACACACATCTTTGGCCCTTAGTGGTATATGTAAAAAATATTTGCATTGGTCATGTAAAATTAATATCACTTTATTCAAATTATACTAATACTTTATAATTTTATATACAAACACATTTTTATTAAAAGTAACTGCCAAAGGTATGCATCGAATATCATGTCAAAATCTAAAAGACAAATGTAACAATACATAGGAAACAACCGAATAAAAAAATCAATGTATTTTATATGAAACTCAAAATAATAAATAAGGAAAATAGATTTTGTGAAACACCCTGTAGAGTCAATAAATAACTATTTGATAATAACATTTAAATAGAAATTAGCACTTGGGTTCATTATATGAAATTAAACAAGTTGGCATTTTGATTTACATCTGATGACATGAAATATTTAGCGACCGGGTTGACAAGCTCAAGATATTTTCTGAACTTTGGTTTTAATATATGAAAAATATCTGGTTTGATCAAACTAAATCAATATCATTTTATCCATCACGGATATTTTTCACAATACTGTAACATATAATTTATGCAAGCATGAGTGGTCTGTTGAAGTGTATATGTGGATTTTCTAGCCCTTCTCATCAGTTCAGACCTTCAGTTGTGTTGCCTAATGCATGAAGCTTAATATGGTATCAAAGTAGCAAAGCAAGTGCTAGTAGTACATATCAAGTACGTAGGAACTTCTCTTAGTTACCCAGTCATATCTGTGCGCCTGAATGTTGTCTTCAGACCAACAATGCCACATAGGGAGGATGGTATTCGAACTGAGCCTGTAAGAAAGAAAAGGTCCCAATTAGAGACTAGTATTGAAAATAATGTAGTGTCAATGAATGTCACAGCTCTATATGTACAAACCTCCGGCGTCTGTTCCAATCGCTGCTGAGCATAACCCTGATGAGACAAGTGCAGCTGGACCAGATGAAGAAGCACCGGTATATCTATCGATTGAATGTGGATTTCTTACTGTCCTGCAATAAATAATTATGAAATTACGAAGATAAAGTAGCAAACATCAGAACATAAGTAGACTGGATGAACAATATTGGATGACTGCAAATTCCAAATCTGTTTTCCATTTCTTTTTCATAATGTGATGGTTTCTGATGATACTGCTAGATCATAATGTTTATAGGCATTCCAGAGTTCTGATTCCTTGTCAAGCTTTATTATTACTGAGCTGAGTTTGCTTCTAGGAAGGAGCAAACAAATACTACAGTTCCCCTTTTCCTTTACAAAACGTTAGGCAAAGCAAAAGAATCACCTAGACTTTGTTGGACATTCATGTTCCCAGCATTTCAAAAAAAAGGAGAAAAGAAATTTAATCTGGTAACACACGAGTTCCACCAGGTCAACATTGATGAAAACATGACTTGAGTTATAACACCTCCAATAAAACTCATGTGTCCCTAAACTCCATGAAAGTAAGCATTTTCAGCAGAACTAGCAGCCGCTTAATTATTAAGCATACCCATAGTTTGGATTATTTCCGGTGACCCCAATGCCTAGCTCGTGCATATTTGCTTTTCCAATAAAAATCACTCCACATTTCCGTAAACGAGCAACTAAGACTGCGTCTTTCTCCACAGGGCGGATTTTGTCGAAAAATGTGGTAGCACCTGAATCCAAAAAGAGGAACATAATATAGAATGTGTTTCTCGGACAGAGCCAAAAAATGGCTACTTCAGTCGAGTGAACTAACTCTTTGATGGATATGGGAAGCAGTCAATGTCATCCTTAATGGCGAAAAAGATCCCATCCAAAACAGAAATCGGGCATCCTGTGCACAAGAAGCAACATATATCAAGAAAACAGGATAGAGGTAAATGGAGTTTTTGCACCTGTTGTGTGTTCATTTCAACAATGATTGACTAAAGCAGCAAAGATAGGTTCGGCGTAAACCTTGCTCAAATCTCTTTGTGGAAGCATTAGCTTGCTTCCTCAGGTCATCAGCGTCAAAATAGATCAGCATTGGCATCGGAGGCTTCTTATTGTTCCACTCTTCCACGCCCGCAATGACATGCTCCGCAACCTACCCAACAGACAAGATTAACACCACAAATGCAAGGAGAGCAAACAATGTTCAGTACATTACATTCCAGATCCAGTGAGCTACTCACAGCTGACGGTGTCGTGATCCCAGACCGGTACGCGTGTGCAAAGTCACGGATCTTCCAGTAGAGAAAGGGATTTTTCTCATCAGACGATGTGAAACGCCCGGACGGGTCGTATGGAGTGAGGCACTGCAGTGCTTCCTCCACTCTCTCCACAGGGTCCCTGTCTTCCCCCAGGATCACAACCCCTTTCTCCGGCTCTGGCAAATTAGGAGCAGCAGCACTTAACAATAATACACCTTTTTTCCGTTTTGTTCAGCCGTGCATATAACTTTCACATGATTAGAAAAGATGCAGTAGGAAGTTGTCTTCCTGTTTCTAGTCAAAAAGAATGTAAAAACAGGGTGGTGCTTGAAAATATCAGCCGCGACATCTGAGTAACTGAATTGAGCAAATTATTTTTTAGACGAAACTGAGCGAATTATTCAGCTGTGGTTGTGCTTCTGCAGCAAACATTTATGTTTCTGCGCCTTTCTTCAGTTTCAGCAGAACTTTTTCTCTTCTTCTTTTTTGCGAAAAGTTTCACTAGAACCTGACTGAATGAAAGAAGTAGAACATCTATCTCAACTTCTCAACCATACAAAATCCAAGAAGACCAAAATTCAGTAGAACTTGGCTGAATGAAAAGTTTCTCATAGCTGCTTTTGCGTGTACACACACAGAGACAGAGGATTTTTTTTTTTTGAGAAATACAGAGACAGAGGATATGACTGTCGTACGTACCCTGCGGCGGGAACTCCGGGAAGAACATGGGCCGGTCGGGGATCACCGTGTGCTGCAGCATCTGCTCGCTTGTCCCCCGGGCAAGACCAGAGTTGTGCTGAGTGCACCGGAAGCAAAATAATCTGAAACAAAATAGAAACTGGCAATGAAGGAGGAGGACCTGCGTCATGTTGTTCTGCTTCTTGAGGACGGAGGTGACGATGGGCCCGAGGAGCGGGGACTCGAGGAGCCAGACGAAGGCCCGGAGCGGGAACCCCGTGAGGCGCGGCGCCCGCAGCAGCAGCGGCTCGTACCGCGCGGCGGAGATGTCCACCTCCTCCACCGGCGCCATCGCCTTCACCTTGCCGCCCATCTCCTCCGTTTCCCTCTCTCCGCGGCAGAGGCAGAGGCAGAGGCAGAGTGAATGTGAAGCTGCAAGCGCGCGGCCGCGGCCGGAACTAGGGAGGGAGGAGTGGGTTTATGGGGGATGGTGGCCGTGGGGGCTGGAGACGACGACGAAGGAGGGGGAGGGTGGCGAGAAAATAATGGGCGTTGTTGCCCCTTGCCACCCGGGGTACGTACTACTCCCTCCGTTTCAAAATAGATGACCCAACTTTGTACTAAACTTAGTATAAAATTGAGTCATCTATTTTGGAACGGGGGGAGTACGTAGTACTAGGACTGTGCACACGTAAATGTGCCAGCGATTCAGTGGACTCCGGCGACAAGACGATAAATTTTGCCTCCGGGACCGCCCAAGATCTCTGACATGAGCCAAATTATTTTTTTTCCCACATTCCACGCTAGGGCAACTTCAATGTGAATCACCAAAATGGATATCATCAAAATATCGAGGCACCGGCTATGTTGTACTCCCTTCGCCCATAATATAAGAGTGTTGTTTTTGGCAACACTGGATGTAGTGTCAAAAACGCTCTTCCACTATGGGATGGAGCGAGTAGTATCTAGTGAACGTTCTTTAGTCGCACACACTTAAATTTGATGCTGAATTGGGTGGCCTCTATGCAAATGTGAACTCCTGATGAACTAGAAAATGTTCAGGGTTGTGTGCCACAGGCTGACTTCCTTGTTCTTGCTTCTTGAATTTTCCTTCCACGTATGGTCAATGCTAAAACGTTCTCGGTCAGAAAGAGAAGAAGCCAACCCCTCTTCTTTGTCTTGGTCATTCTCTTCTAGGATGAAGAAACAAAAGAAAATGAAAACAGTTCTTTTTTACAAACAGATTTAACAGTATTGAACTGATCCTTCAACCAGTTCATTCAAAAGTCCGAACTGACGGACAATATATTTCAACTTGTTGTACCGTATGGATCACCAAGATAGGTTCCTTTTAGTTAGCCCTATCAGGCTCCACGCTACTGTAGCACTGGTACACATGGAGAGACAAAGCCAGCACGGCGATCAACGGTAAAGCAAATACATGAACCTGATGTCTCACGAATTCATCTCTTCTAGTTTCTTCGCAGTAACAAACTGAACCACAAAACGATGGGAAGTGCTATTAAACACAAAATGAGCGGTATAGATTTTGTTTTGCGTCACATACATACTCCACTTCATTTTGGACCTATCATCAAGATCTTTTATATTGAGATACGAATTCATGATTCACTCGCGTTTGTCGGTAATGGATATCTCGGAGTCTCTGTTACATCTATGTCTCCGCTTTCTCGATGGGCAGAGATGAGCCAGATCAAGAACATTACGAACAGATGAATCACAACAAGAAAACCGGCAGAGATATCCCAAACGTCCAAACGATTTCTTTTATACTGCCTCACTTATTGCTGCTACAGTGTCTCTGGTAAAATTATTTTCTCGGTCTTTTATAAACTGGAGAAGGGTTTGCTGTGTATATCCTGAGTCCTGACAAATGACAAACCTCTCGCATACTATTGATATTACATACTGATGATGTTTCAGGTCTTCAGGATGTCGTAAAATGTGGATGGCCGATTTCTTCTCTTCAGGCAGAGCTCCTGAAAGCAAGGGAAAATAAGGTCACGTTTTTAATTCATGATGAGGGTCCAGGAGTTGACAAACACGGCACAAAAGACTTGATGAAAATAATGCTCGCACTCATAAGGGTGGTGATGCCACTGAATAGTGCTTTTCAGATTCTCTAGACATGCCAAATTTAGAACATTTCATAAATTACTATTTCTTCCCTAACATTTGTATTTGCCTTAGCATATTTTCCCGTTAAAAATTACTCAAAGTAATCTGTAGCTTAAGTGTACCTATGCCACGATATAAATAAATGCCCGTAGACAACATGGTGGTGTAAATAAAGTCTCCCCGATGCCTAATGCTAACGGATCAAGATTGCTGAATGTTCAGAGATTCACTCGGGTTCATACAGATGCAGCCTTAATAAGACATGGACTCCTATTAAATATGAGCACATTCTCAATTGGCAAACCACAAATACAGAACCTTTATGACGAATGCGAACATTACCTCTACTGCCGAAGCCACCCTCAATAAGCTAGCCTCGCCCCATGGACGGCCTATCAGTTGCAAGCCGATAGGAAGGCCTTGCTTGTCATGACCAACCTGGGTACAGGACAGGAGTAGCAGCACATATTAGCAATTAATATTTCCCTGCATGTTTTTGAGCTATATTGCAACAAAATCCTGAATGTTTCCTATAATTATTACTAACTACTCCTATAATGTGGAGTAAAAGATACAATTAATACTCGTCATGAGTTGTGACACCACTTACAGGAACACTAATGGCAGGCAAGCCAAGAAGGTTCCCGGCAAAAATGAATTGCATCAGCTTGGCTGCAATAAAGAGATTGAATCAGGAACAGAAAAGGTGCAATTGATCTCTGTAGAACAAGGTACCAATAATTGTACTTGGCAGGTTGGCGTCAAAACAGGTATTAATATAGCTTGCTTAGCAAACTGCTAAACTCATATAAACTATGAAACACAACTCTTCCATATCGCATAGCTACTTTATACTATTGGATTCCAAATAGGAAGAAAATGCCCCCTGTATCTCTCATTCCAACAAGGTTCTAAATAGCTTGTGATATTCTGTTATAGCTTTGTGCGTTCCCACCACAAAAGCGTGATATCCATGATCTAAATAAGGAAATAGCTAGTGATAGCTTAGCCATAGCTTTTTAGTGTCGTCGCGGCTAAGGCGTGAAAACCGCGTTTAAAACTTCAATCTCCCCTACAAATTTCACATGTAGAGCTGTCATTATTTTATTTTTCTTATTACTACCTCCGTCCGGAAATACTTGTCTTCGAAATAGATAAAAAGGATGCATCTAGAACTAAAATACATCTAGATACATCTATCTCCCAGACAAGTATTTCTGGACGGAGGGAGTACAAACTTCTTTCTCAAGACAAGACAATGACAGCAGTTTTTTTTTTGCGGGTGAATGACAGCAGTTGTTGTGTCAACTAAGAATTGTTTCACATCAACATTTCAGCAGGTTTTATCCAGGATGTTAGCATGGTTCAAAATTGAGTTTGAGATAAGATACAAATCCACGTGTTCAAAAGCTAATGAAAATGCACAATATAATATAGTGAAGAATCTACCTGATACAACATAATCAGACTCTCCTTTCAGAGCACTTGGTGGTATTTTTGGCGCGGTCATGCTGGAAAAAAACAGCACATCTCCTTAGTTGTTATAGCAACAGATAGTACATATGATAAGAAGCACAAGTACACCATAATTTCTTGAAAACTGGTGCAAACAGGTAAATTAGGTATGCATCATTCTAGGGAGCATAGATGAACAGAGTTATGTCAGCTGCTCCATGTAATCCCAAATGTGAATTAGTATTGTCAATTCGGTAATTTACAGACATTATCTCGTATTCGAGTCAGAAACCGACATACTTGTGTAGCCCTATATACCCTGAAACTATTAGAAAAATATGTGTCGCTTAGAACTACAACCCATCTACTGGAAGCTAGAAAGCAGAACTTTCCTCATGCACTAACCTCTTTGACTAGACAAAAACAAGTACGAATGAGGAAGCATGCATACACACCATTAGCAGAAATGAGTACGATGATATAAAACATCTATGGACAGACTGCAATAAACTTCAAAATCTTTTACCCGGTTGTAGGGGTTGCTATGACGTCAACCTTCTTGAAAGCTTCCATGTGATAGTACATTATCCTTCTCCTATAAAAGCCACAGATACCGTAAGCACACAACTGCCAGAACATCTGCCGTGGGAGAAAGAAATACACACTTGACAGTTCACGGACTTAATTGTATTTGTCATACAACAACTATGTGGCATGTGATTTATAGTAACACCTCAATTTCCACAATTTGTGCAACAGTCAGCACATCTAGGAAATTTCAGTAACTCAGTATGTGACAAACTAGGAGTCTAGTCAAAGACCATGACAGATTTTAAAGAAAACTAGCAGCACTTTCTGGTAGCAGATAATGGTGAAACAGGAGCTGCACAACTTCTAGTAGCTATTGAATTATTATAACTTTTGGTATAAATGTCCACACGATTAATACACCATAAGTATGCCTCATCACCTGGAGTTAGGTATGCTCTGTAATTCAAGTCCTATTTGTTTACTTGTCTCTAATCCCTTATTTGTTTTCAAACTATAATGCTAAAGAAAGAACTCCTAACTAGAATATGACATATATGTAGGATGTCATATTATAATAAATCAGAATTGAATTTTTTATATTTAGTAATAACTAGGGTTATTACTAGAAATAACTTATATTATTGAATCAATCTAAATAAGATGCACTGGATAGGTTTTTGGAAACCTGTGGGATCATAAGAATAGACATGTTTCCTTTCTTATTAGGTTGATTGGTCGTCTTTTTGTGTTACCTGAAACAATCTTACAATCTAAATAGGTTTTACTTTATCTTTCCTATCCGCAATCACATTCAAGGTGGTTCTCTTATATTATGGGACGGAGGGAGTACTTCATATGAATGAAGTGCCGTAATGGAAACACAAATGCCTCAGCTACTTTATACTCATATTCACCTCAGACATTGAGCAGCAACATAATCTGCTGAAGTGAATGACTTAAAAAGTGCCAAACTTGCTCGAGTATCTAACGTCATTTCAGTTCGCCTCCTGTAAAATAGTAGTATTGTGAGATTGACATTACAGAATAGTAAATACTAGCTAAAAAAATACTTCCAGTCTCTCAGGGACCATAAATTTCAAGTTCTATCTCGTCTTGAAAGGAAAAAAATTATATAGCTCATGCTGAGAGCAACATTGATAATCTGATGGTGATATTTGTGTGAATATACAGATAGATAGATAGATAGATAGATAGATAGATAGATAGATAGATAAGTACCCTGCTTGGTAATGAGCATTCATGTCTGAGAATGCTTCTGAGCCAATAGAGACAAGATGGGCTGTACGCATCTCCTCAAGCTCTGGTAAGATTATCTCTTCTATCTTGAAAAATATTAAACAATGCTAGTCAGCTGAGATGTCGAAAAACAATAGAATATGCATATATAGTAGATGCCACACTAACAGAAAAGGAATCTCGTCATAATCATTCAGCAGCTGGGAAAAAATAAGCTTAACTAATACTGCTTGTTGGATAGCTAGAAGCTCCAAATGATGCCCATCAATAATCAATTACAACTTACAGGAGTTGCCAAGATGGACATTTTTCTAATTAACACTTCACAATTGTTTTTTTTCTAATTAACACTTCACAATTGTTTTGACGTAACCATCAACAGAACTACAGTCGCAGTTATTGGAGAGCACAGAAGCATACACCTTACACATGAAAAATCTGATTAACGATCAAATGCTTTCATCTAAAGAAGAGATTGTACATTCTAAGTTACGAGACCTAGATAGGTGTGATAATAGATATGTTTGCGATATAAATGGCTATACCTGACATCCAAAGGTACTGCATAGGAGGTTAAGTGCATCTTCACATGTATTTGAGACCTCATTATCAGGGACATCATGAAACCACTGCAGAAGCCAATTTTATCTAAGAAAAGGCACGTGTGTACAAAAATAATATTTCACGTGAAAATTTGTACCTCTGTATATTTTCCCACTTTCACTGATTGCAGGATCTTGCTATTCTCGGAGGACACCAAGTTAGGAACACACAGCGGGGACTGTACAGAGGAAAAGGGGAAGAGATGCAGAAGCTATGAGGCTGATAGGATGCAATAAGGCCAGCTTTAGATCATAGGTTATGATCCATCCTGGGTAATAATGGAGAAGATTAACATGTGACTGTTGCTGTATTGTGATTACCGTACTGTTGGACTCTAAAATTTTACATTTCATTTTAGAAAAAACAATCACAATCTTCTTTTTTTCCTACGATTCAGTAATGACTGACATCCGTACTGTTTCCAATTTAAGAAAAACAAACTGACTAGTATAGTGCAATGATGTAGAAGTGATACTAAAGATATTTTAGGGGGGGTTTAACATACATTCAGTGCTTCTGGTATTTACCAGATGGGAAGTGCTAAAAGAAGAAATAGCTTACAGGTCTCAGAGTAAGTTTGTCCATAGGTCTAGAGCCTGCTAGTGCAGAATACCTGAAATGCCATAAGACATGGTGTAAGACTGCAAGTAGTAAATACATAACTTACAAGCAGAGGGTATTGACTGTTGAGCGTTCATAAATGACAAGTATTCAGTTGTACCCAACCAACCAGATAGTTAGATACATATATAACTTATATCATTAAGGGAAATAAGAGAGTTGACAAACTTCCAACTTTAACAAAGATAGCTAAACAGACTCATGCAACCTCATGGTCTCATCTAGCAAGCCAAAATGCTTACAATAGCACAGAATCCTCCACTGATGATGTAAGAGGTGAGGCAACTTCAACTGTCCCGGCATCACAAACGACCCTGCAAATAAGATATAAAATTATGCGTACTCACAATCTATTACTCCCTCCGTTCGAAAACGCTTGTCTCAAGCTTGTCCCTCAAATGGATGTATCTAGCACTAATTTGGTGCTAGATACATCTATTTGAGGGACAAGCTTTTTTGGACGGAGGGAGTATATTATTATTAAAACAAAAGGCAACTAAGCCATCTTGGGTCGTAGTTACTATCTTGCTAGGTTTAGTTGTCATAACTGTTCGGAATCCACAAAGCATCCTGACCAACGGTCAGAATTTTTGAACATGTCCTTCAGTTTATCCTTTATTGGAACTATGTTCCTTCTTATTTTTGTTTCAGATTGGTGGTGCTCTTTATATTTGTACATTAAATTTAAACCAAAATCCTGAACAGGGTACCAGTAAATCTGGTAACCGGTGTTTCCCTGGTTTAAGAACATATGGAGTGTTAAAGAAAGGCTACGCGCGCTTACTTAAATGGCTTAAAAAGGTTATCCTAATCCAAGTAAATTATGAAGCCCAAAAGAAATGTAACCGTAAAATCACAAAACTACAGGTATTTTGCACAGACTATTCAAAACCATGGATTTATGCATCTATTGCACATAGCTAGCAAGAAGCTTTCGCATAGCAAAACCCCACATTTAAAGTTGAACCGTCACCTGCAACAATATTGATCAACACATTGCAACCCGTACGCCCTTGCTGAAACCTCCATTACAGGTAGGTACTAGGCCAAGAGGCTGACAGGTGGGCCAGTTACAGTCCAGCCTTAAAACTGGAGCCTTGTGACAGTTTATAAGAATATTTGTAGTTTCACAAATTTTACTCTATCTTATAAACTGGAGTTGGTGAGGCGCGGCCCATCTCCCATCTTTGTTTATCACCTTGCTAAAAGTCTCGTAAAAAAACAAATTAACTAACTGAAAGACACGAATCTCCCCCCACAAACTGACTTAACGAAAATGGAGCATCACAGGAATAAGAATGCAGAGGCGTGCATCGAGTGACACTGGCCTATGTGGGACTCGGATGAGAGTGAAGGCATAGCTGAGGTGTGGAGCAGCCTTAGATGGTGACAGTGACAGTGACTTGATCGGATATATACTTTTATCTGTAGCAAAGTAAATGCTAGAAGTACATATCAAGTAGGAAAAATCTTAGTTACCCAGTCATATCTGTGCGCCCGAATGTTGTTTTCAAACCAACAATGCCACATAGGGAGGATGGTATTCGAACTGAGCCTGTAAGAAAGAAAAGGTCCCAATTAGAGACTAGTACAGAAAAGAATGTAGTGTTAATGAATGTCACAGCTTTATATGTACAAACCTCCGCCGTCTGTTCCAATTGCTCCTGAGCATAACCCTGATGAGACAAGTGCAGCTGGACCAGATGAAGAACCACCAGTATATCTATCGATTGAATGTGGATTTCTTACTGTCCTGCAATAAATAATTATGAAAATATGAAGATAAAGTGACAAACATCAGAAAATAAGTAGACTAGATAAACAATGTAGGATGACTTCAAATTGCAAATTCATTTTCCATTTCCTTTTCATAATGTGATCGTTTCCGATGATACTGCTAGAGCATAATGTTTGTAGGCATCCGAGAGTTCTGATTCATTGTCAAGCTTTACAATTACTCAGCTGAGTTTGCTTCTAGGAAATAGCTAACAAATATGTTCCCCTCTTCCATTGCAAGACTTTAGGCAAGGCAAAAGAATGATCTAGATGTTGTTAGACATTCACGTTTGCAGCATGCCAAAAAAAAGAGTACGAAATGTTAACCAGGTAACACTCCACCAGTTCAACATAGATGAGAACATGATAAGTTTTAACACCTTCAATAAAACTCATGTGTCCCTAGACTGTAGATTCCATGTAAGTAAGCATTTCAGACAGAATAGCAGCCACTTAGTTATTAACTGTACCCATAGTTTGGATTGTTTCCAGTGACCCCAAGGCCTAGCTCGTGCATATTTGCTTTTCCAATAAAGATCACTCCACATTTCCGTAAACGAGAAACAGAGACAGCATCTTTCTCCACAGGGCGGATTTCGTCAAAAAATGTGGTGGCACCTGAATTCAAATAGAGGAACATAATATAGAATGTACATCTCGGACACAGTAAAAAAAATGGCTAGTACAGTCGAGTGAACTAACTCTTTGATGGATATGGCAAGCAATCAATGTCATCCTTAACGGCGAAAAAGATCCCGTCCAGAACAGAAATTGGACTTCCTGGGCACAAGAAACAACACATATCAAGAAAACAGGATTGAGGTAAATGGACTTTCCACCTGATGTCTGTTCGTTTCAACAATGATGAACTAAAGCAGCAAGGTTGGGTTGGGTGTAGACCTTGCTCAAATCTCTTTGTAGAAGCATCAGCTTGCTTCCTCAGGTCGTTGGCGTTAAAATGGATCAGCATTGGCATCGGAGGCTTCTTATTGTTCCACTCCTCCACGCCCGCTATGACAAGCTCTGCAACCTGCTCAGCGGTCAAGGTTTAACACCACAAATGCAAGGAGAGAAAGCAGCATTGTTCTGTACAATACATTCCAGTGAGCTACTCACAGCTGACGGCGTCGTGATCCCAGACCGGTACGCATACGCAAAGTCGCGGATCTTCCAGTAGAGGAAGGGATTTTTCTCATCGGCCGATGTGAAACGCCCCGACGGGTCATACGGAGGGAGGCAACTAAGTGCCTCCTCAACTCTGTCCACAGGGTCCCTGTCGTCCCCCAGGGCCACAACCCCATGTTCAGGCTCTGGTAAATTGGGAGCAACAGCAATTAACAATAGCATACCCTTTTTTTTTACCTTATACATATAACTTTCACACGATTAAAAAAGCTGCAATAGGGAATTTTCTTGCTGTTTCCAGTCAAAAAAGATTTCAAGAGACCCAAAAACAGGGGTGCTTTAAAATATCGCTGCAACATCTGAATAACTGAATTGGGCAGATTATTTGTGTAGAGGAAATCGAGCAAACTATTCAGGTGCGTTCCTGCAGGAAACATATATCTTTCTGTGCCTTATTCAGTTCCAGCAGCAGAACTTGTTTAATCGGCCAGAGCTCCAGCTGAACTTGACTGAATCAAAAGTAGTAGTAGAACATTTATATTATATAAAAAAACTCAATTATTGTTTGTTTCTTTTGTCCCGTCTTCTTGCTTGCTTGCGGAGCTGAACAACGACCGGTGACAATTTCAAAGGAACAGGCAGAGACAGAGACAGGGGATAGGACCATAGAAGAGAGCATACCCTGCGGCGGGTACTCCGGGTAGAACATGGGCCGCTCCGGGATCACCGTGTGCTGCAGCATCTGCGCCGCCCCCGAACAAGAACAAAAATTGCGATGAGCGCAACGGAAGCAGGCAAGCCGGGGAATCGCTGGGTAAAAAACGGAAATTTGGGAGGGAGGGGCGGAAGGACCTGCGTCATGTTGTTCTGCTTCTTGAGGACGGAGGTGACGATGGGCCCGAGGAGCGGGGACTCGAGGAGCCAGACGAAGGCCCGGAGCGGGAACCCCGTGAGGTGCGGCGCCTGCAGCTCCGCCGGCCTGTACCGCACGGCGGCGACGTCCACCTCCTCCACCGGCGCCATCGCCCGCGGCATCCCCTTCCCCCTGCCGCCGGATCCGCCGCCCATCTGATTGATCTCGGTCCGGTCGGCGGGGGCAGGGGCGGAGTGAATGCGGAACTGCGAGCGCGCGGCGGGAACTAATGCGCGGCCGCGGGCGGCGGTGAGTGGGGTTTTATGGGGTAGGGGTGGTGGGGTGGGGGTGGCGAGTGGAGACGATGACCGGGGACGGAGGATGGATTGGACGGATGGCGAGAAAATAATGGCCGTTGCAGCTGCCACTTGCCGGCCGAGGTAGGAGTAGCAGTACTGCGGCCAGAATTGGGATGGCGCACATGTAAATGTACCAGCGACCCAGTCGACTCCACGACAAGGCGATCAATTCGCCTCTAGGACCACCAAAGTTCGTGGCCTCAGCTAGGTAAGAAAAATTGCATATTTTTTTCTAATAAACACAATACAATCACATGCGCTCGTCGTTATGAACGCACGACACGCACACACCTACCCCTATGAGCATATCCGAGTGACTGGGTCGTCATAATATCCTGATATTGGCGGAGTCACTAGAGGCGTCTGATATTCGACCGGAAAGTCCCTCTTACTGGACGAACATCGGTGGAAGCCTGAAATGAAGCCAGAAAAATGCGAGCATCAATGCCAAGTTTAGGACTTGAACCCTGATGGGCTGGTTCCACTACAAGTAAGATTTGGTCCTCGTCGTCAGACAACTTGCCATCGATCGTGAGTGGCATCGCTGATATAGAGTCGTGTTTCCTCGCCAGGCTAAAAAATGTCTACTTTGTTGGTCCACCCTCATCTTGCCTTCTCATTGCTCGTAGAGCGCTGGATCTTTCTTGTCTACAATCCACGTCCACACCCCCTTCCCCTGCCCAATTCTCGCCAACCAGCCATTGGCTGAGTTTCGGTCTTACGTTTGTAGGTGCCTCTAAAGTAGGCCACTCCAACCTCGCCTTGGAATAGAAAGCATTTTTTTTGCGAATAAACTCTTATATTACTAAAAAAAAATAGGGATTACAATCACACATGACAATGTTCATGACCTCATCTGGACCAGACCCTAGATACACCATGGTTTGGCCCTATGTTCTACCAAAGTTATTCACTAATCAACACCAACATCTATATGGCATGACAATGTGCGCTCCTCCCGTCCACTAAATCAACGTGTTACAACCACGACAAAACATTCTAGGTCAAGTCAAACATCTTGACCATTCATCTGTTGGCGGTCACCCTTGCCATAGGCAACAAGATTGTTTCATTTCATGGTCTTATGTGCAACCTACTCGCTCTGTTTAGTCTATTTTAAGCTATCCCATTGTACATTTATATATTAGGTCGGAGTTATACGTGTTTCACCCAACACCTAACCATCTGCATATTTAAAGCAGTGGTAGGGCCAGTTCTTTTCGGCGATTCTCCCAGAATCACCCCCTTCCCCAGCTTCTCCCAGAATCGCCACTCCATTTTTTTTACAATCCTATCTAGTTAAGATCTAATTAGCTAGAAAATTTCAAAACGAATGGACAAGATGCATGCGTCACATGTTCTAGAAATTTGGGATTTTCCTTTGCTCAGGTTCTCTCCTGGTTACGTACTCGCCCAGCGGGCCGGAAAAACATCGGCATCTGACGCATACAGTGCTAAAAAGAAAAATAACCTGGTTGATGTATCGATGGAAAGAAAATAAAAACCCAGGAAGAAGAGAGGATATACATGGAGGAAGAATATAATATATCAGTACTCCGTATTCCACAATCGAACGTCATCCAACTTCTAGGCTTTATTTTTGGTGAGCCATCTTAAAGGTCCAAAAAGCTGCATCTTAGCGATGGAGTAGCGTCGAGCTCGGGTGAGAAGGTAATTCGTCATTCTTTTCTTTGGTGGCTGCTATGATAGTGCCGGAGGCAAGTGACATGCGTTGTTGTCGAGTTCAAAGATGTTTTGCTATTTTTTCTATTTTGTCATATTGGTTTCTAAGCAATTTATATTTTGTTCTTTATGATATAAATGATACACGTATTATCATGAAAAAACTATTAATCGACGTAGGCGTTGGTTGCATCGATCATGGGGGAACGGAGACGGACACAAATGGAGGCTCGCGTGACGTCGTGTGACGGCGGGCGGAGATAGCAACGCGGATGATGTTGTTGTTGCTGTTGCTGTTGCATCAACAAGGTAGAGCCGCCGCCGCCAGTACGTGGTCATCGCGTCATTGGTGTTTCCTATGCGGACCAAAAAAGCGTTGGTGTAAGCAGCATGTCTGCATGTGCAATGATAAGCACTGTCATTACAAAGAAAAATGTACGGCTATCATTACAAATTAGTACCTCGGGTCAGATTTCAAACCAATACGTGGAGAATATACCGCAGGGAATACGAGCTATGACACCGGTACCCCTTAGAGCATCTTCAATGGTTGTAAGATAATTGTTGATAGACTTTATTACGTATTATATAGTAAGATTTTTAATGATGTGTCATACAATAAATAAAAAAAGAAAAGAAGGTTGTATGTACATGAATCAACACCCTGACACAAGTTTCAATATAGAATAAAAGAACATCTTATTTATTATCTTGCATCATATTGAATAAACTAGATACTCAGCACCTGGAATAACGGAAAAGTTTCGTCTGGCTCGACCCAGCACCTGCCGCCAGGTCGCTCGTGACAGCGACTGCAGCCGTAAACAGGTTTCGTCTAGCCTCCCCGCTGGGTGGACACACGGGACACGGCGGTAGACTCGATCCGTGAGAAAAGAGCGAGCTGGCACTCAACTAGGCACCTCCGTCCGTCAACCATCCCGGTTCCCGGGTCCCAGCATTGCCCTATCCAGCGTCCACCACCACGACGCCTATCCTCTGGACTTTTCCGTCCTCCTTCTAGAACGAAGCACGCACGCCAACGAGGATCAGCATGACACATCTTCTTGGAGCATCCGTAAAAATATGGCTTCATTTTTCCGACCCGCCTTGACTAGCCATTCCCGTTCTAGAAGCAAGGTTCCTCCGTCGCGATTGCACCATGACCAAACCTCCGTTTTTTCTTTCCAGAAGTAGACGTAGCAGGGTTTCACAGTTGCATACGGCTCTCTTTTCCCTCTTGCAAAGGTGTTATCACTCGCTTAACACTTCCTCTCAAAGTTTGACATCATAATTAAGAGCGTGTGGTTCAGTTCGCGGTTACTAGACGCGGTGCAATGGTCCACCTGATTCTGGTATGCTAATATAGTACTCCCTCCGTTCCTAAATACTTGTCTTTCTAGGCATTTCAACAAATGACTACATACGGGGCAAAATGAGTGAATCTACACTCTAAAATATGTCTACATACATCCGTATGTAGCAGTCATTTGAAATGTCTAGAAAGACAAGTATTTAGGAACGGAGGGAGTAGCTTTCTTTTTTTCCTAAATAAATGGAGGAAAAAGGATTTCCATCATCCCTTAACCGACGAAGGAGAAAAGTAATGATAGTGGTTAGCAGGAAAAAATATACTATTAAAATGTGATGAATACTTATAAT